CCCGCCGTTCCCCGCCGCCCGCCCCCGGGTCCCTCCCCCGAGGCCGATCCCCCTCCCCCGGGTCCCTCCCCCGGCTCCAGGTCCCCCCGGCGCGGTGAGGCGAGGCCCGGCCCGGCGGGGCCCGGCCCGGCGCTGGGCGGAGCCGCCTCTGGCCCCTCCGAGCGGGCGGGCGCCTCGCGCTCAGCGTTTCGCCCCTCTCCTCTCCCCCCCCGGGCCTCGGCGGGGCCCGGCCTTACCGCTCATGGTGGCCGGGGGCCGAGCCCGAGCGGCGGCGGGGCGGGGAGGAGGGGGCGGGCGCGCCCGGCGCGCTGAGGCGGCGGCCTAACCCCGCCGGTGACCGCCGAGGGGCTGCCGAGGGAGGGAGCCGCGCACCGCTGCCCCGGCCCCGCTGCCCGCCCCCGCCGCCTCCTCGCCCAATGGCAGCGCGTCGAGGGCGGTGAGTGGCGGGCGCTCCGGCCAACGGGAAGCGAGGGCGGGCCGCGGGAGGGGGGAAGGGGGGAGCGGGCACACCGCCCCCGCCGCCCCGCCCCGGGGGGGAGGGGGAGAGGGGAGCGCGGGGGCCAATCGGCGGCGGGGAGGGGGGGGCCGCCGGCCGCGCTGGCCAATCGGCGCCCGCGCGCGCTCGCAGGGAGACCCCGTATGGGAGCGGCTGCGGCGGCCTGCCCCGCGGCGAGATGGGCGTTGCGCGCAGCCAATAGCGCGGCGGCATCGCGGGGGAGGTGGAGCGGGGGCGTGACGGACGGCTGAATTCGCCAATCGGCCGCGCGGGTCGCGCCGCCGGGGAAGGCGGACCGGCAAAATGACGGGCGCGTGGACCAATCGCGGCACGGAGGCGTCGGCCACGAAGGAGCTCCGCGCCAATGAGAGCGGCGCTCTGTCTCAAACTGCCCAATGGGCACCGCAGGGAGGCGGGGCGCGCCTCCGGGCTGCGCCCTTGGAGGGACGGCTCGGCGGCGCCGCGAAGGTGGCGGACCCGGCGCCATCTTGTTTCTGGCTCCGCCCCGGCGGGGTCCGCCGCTTCGCCGCGGCCCCTGAGCCCGCGCCTCGCCGCCACGACGCGGAGCATATCGCGATAGTAGCGCTGTCCCCTCCGCAGCCCCGTCCTTCCGTCACCGCCCCGCCTGCCGCCATCTCGCAGCGTAGGCCTCGTCACGACGCTGACACCGCAGGAGCTCTGTCACGATAGCCAACCCTCTGCCCTGTCACGATATGGCAGCCCTGCGACAAAGCCGGGCTGGGAGCCGTCGGTGTGTTTGTTGGGAGGACTGGAGCTGGGGGGAAAAAAAAAAGCCCTCGTTCTAAATAATAATACAAAAAAATATAAAAAAAATTAAAAAATGGGTTTTTAAGCTCCAAGGTCGTGTAGAAAATAATTTAAAATAGAGCTTTACGGGGAAAAAAAGAAAAAAAAGGGTTTTCTTGGCGACAGGAGCTGTGGCACGCCGGCCTGCAGGGAGGGCCGCTGCTGTTTGGGGTTTAACCTGGAAAAAAAAGCCTCGATTTATTAAAAAAAATACAATAAAACGAGGTTTTTAACCCCCCCTCCCACCCGTTTATGTCGGTGTGAGGTAATTTCTCACAGGAGGGGCTTCCAATGGAGCACAGCCGTGGTGGGAGGGGGCTGCGGGGTGAACCAAGGGAAAAAAACCCAAAATAATGTTTATCAAAGGAAAAACAAAATCCAAAATAAGGCCTTTAATGCCTCCGTTCCTATAAAAACAAATCATGTTTTCGCTGTCCTGAAGAGAACTGCAGTGCTGGGGTCCACACTGTGACAAGGCGGGGGG